ACAGTGGGATTTGAACCCCAGACCTCTTGCATGGCAGTCTGGCAACCTAACCACTACACTAAGATCGCCAGACCTACTTTGCTTATAATATTTATAACTTATAAACCAATTATTTATATATATCTATATTTTTTTTAGAATAATGTATGTTTATAGGATGAAATTAAATGTCTTTTTCTTCGAATAAGAAATCCTATATCATTATGTATTGATGGATTTATTAAAAAGATTTTTGGATATACTTTATATTCTAATGAAGGAAGAGATATTCAAACCAGAACAAAGAAAGCTCTAGATAATTTCTACTATAAATTAAATTAATAAGTAATAGAGCTTACTAAAGACTTTAAAAATAAGTAAGAAAAGTATAAAAAAATTATTTAATAATAACTTCAAATATATTAATAACTTATTAGTAAAATATAACAAATTTAAATTAACTTATTAACTTATAGAGAAGGTATGATAATATCTTTATTAATTAATGAAGATATAAAAAATTTTATTGATGAAAATATAGTCAACAATCTCCTAAAATATTATATTTCAAGAACTAATCAATCTGAACTTTGAAAGTGTAGATCACTAGCTAAGCTAGTAACTTTTATTCGTAAAATGTTTTGTATTTATTAGAGAAGAAAAAATATTATCCAAGTTAAAAACTTGAATAATATTACAAAAAATATACATATACCTTCAAGAAGTAGCTTAAATATTGCTAGCAAACTTAATATTAATTAAATGATTAATTTAAAGTTTATTAGTGAATTTTAAATTTACAATAAAGAATAGAATTATTAAATTAATATCTAAATGATCCTTTTCTGTAACTCTTTCTGTAGATTACTTGTACCAAAACTTCTTGCAAACATTTGACTGTTTCTTAAAATTTTATTAAGTAAACCACTTTTGGGCCTCTAAATAAAGTTGTTCACAGCAATATTTTACTTCAGAACGGCCTAGTTTTAGTCTCCTCGGACCTTTATTTGTGAAGATATTAAATATACTTTATTTTTATAGTTTTTTCAAATTATCTTAAAATTTTACTAAGTAAACCACTTCTAGACCTCTAAGTAAAGTTGTCAAGCATAAAATTTTACCTCTAGTAGTCTATTTTTATATCTTCCGGACCAAATTTTAATAAGATATTATTTATTTTCGGTTTACTTAGTTTTTCTTAATTATCTCAAAATATTACTAATTTAACAACTCTTGTTCACTAAAAGAGTTAGGTTCTC